GACCGGAATGTACAAATTGTTCCTAGGTTGTTCAGTGACTCAGGTTGCTTAACAGACTGTTTAAGTAAAAGTCTTTAATCATCGGTGAATTGGTAAGCTCTCCTAGGTTTTGTTCTTGTTATTTATTTTTTATAATATGTGTGCTCATTTATAGCAAGAATTTTTCCAGTTGAGAGCTATTCTTGAGGCCCTTCTCACAATTCTTACACATACCTTATGCCTCCATTTTCAGTCAAAGGAAAATACGCTGCCATAGAGAATTAGAGAATTAGATTTTCAAAGCATTTAGTTTAGTGTTCATTGATTGTCAGCATTGTACAAATTGTACAAGTGAAAAAAGGTTTAAGAAGGGAAAGATTTTATTCACTTTATAAGTGGAAGGTGGGTTTTCTTGTTTCTGACCAACTTAATACAATTCACCATTTAAATGTTCTAAATTGAAAAATTGTACTGCTTTTGAACATCTCACATCTCACGATCCAGTCTTAAGATGGTTAAAAAATTCTGTTAAAAATTAGAATTTCAGGTTCTCGCTTCAGACTAATTTTTGGCCTATAATGACTTATAAAATTTTGGATAATTCCTTCTCTGAATCCTTATTTAGGTTCACTGCCCTTTTTTTTAAATATTGTGAATGACCCACTCTGTTGAGATTGGATAACCAAGAATTTTATTGCCAGCATAAGCTGTACACAACTTAGATACTTAAAGATCTTTGTGAATGACACTTATTTCAGTTCTTCTGTGTAGTTTGGAATGCAGTGCCCAGATGATTCTCTCAGAAGAGACAGCAGAGTGGTGGCTGCTTGGCAAGACTAGTCATTTATCCCTCCCCAAAGCCACTGCCCTTGCTCTGGCAAGCCGGGCACAGCCGGCCCAGAGAGGGACTGTGGGCTTTCTGGGACAGGCTGTGTTCCCCAAAGTGGGAGTCAGCCAAACGGGGAAGATTCTGAAGGACTGTCTTAAGAGACAGGAATTGAACAAAGGGAAGAAGGTTTAAGGTAGCTGGAAGATATTAATTTCTATGGTAGGATAAGTGATGCAGTGACTCAGGATGGACAGTAATAGGGGAGGATGCAGCATTGAGGAAGCGCTGTTCCCAGGTCCTATAGGAGGACATAGTGATGGAGCATGAGAGGAAACAGCTTAACATGAGATGTTGTCATTATAGCCTAGGGGTAGATGATTCTTCTGAAATGGCTACTTCCCTTAGTGTCCTGTTATCTCAACAAATCATAAAGTAATGAAATATGGAGAGTGCAAAAGAACTAAAAAGAAAGCCATAAAAAGGAGACTTAAGAGGCTTTAACAAAACAAACAAAAGAATATAGGTAGGATAAAAGAAAAGAAAGGAAAGGTACATTAAAACCCTTTATAATAACTCTATAAAGTAGAATGAGGAGTTAAAAAAGTAAAATAAATGATATTTAAAATAAAAGAAGCAAAAGGCAGAAAGAGCTCATGAAAATGTAAGAATCCAGATATGAAGATAAAGAAAAATTTTAAGGAGAGCTGTGAACTTAAAATCTTTTAAAAACCTCACTACATTGTGCTTTTTGTCTCATAACATTTATCAGTGGTAATCAAATAATTGCTAGGGTGACTATTTGTTCAGTGTATGTCTTCCCTCCTGGCTTTAAGCTTCGTGCTGTCAGTGATGACACTGTTGTCTGCTGCAGTATTCCCAGAGCCTAGAAGTATGCTAGCAACATGTTCTGCATGTACATAGTAAATTCTTTTTGAGTTAAATATAAAGTATAGAGAATGTTAACTTTTCTTTAGAAGTTTTGTCATGTGAAATTAGGATTAAAGGTAAGACACTCTAAAGAAAGACGAGGCAGTTTTAAAAAAGAAAGTAAAGTAGGCTAGAAAATGGAGAACAATTAACAAATCTCTCAGCAATAAGAAGTTCTAGAATAATGTTGAGTTTTCTGAGTTTTATTATAAAACATCAGTAATATGATGACAGAAGCAACAAGAGAAAGAAAATATGACAGGGAACCAGCTTTGTAATCTCCACCCTTCTCTTTTCATATGAGGAGAGCTCCTGGGAACTGAGGCCTTTTTGGGTGCCCCCATCTCCCACCCCATATTGCCCATCTTTTTTATCAGGTGAAATTCACAGAACTGCATAAAGTAACCTTTTAAAGTGAACAGTTCAGTGGTATAATGTACATTTATAATGTTGTGAAAACATTACCAAAACATTTTCATCACCCTGAGAGAGAAAACCCAGCTGGTATCCTTTAAGGGCATTCCCATCCCTGCTCTGAGCACCAAACTGCCTTCTGTCTTCATGGGTTTTCCCCTGGCCTCCTTTTAAAAAGTGGATCTGTGGAGAGGGATATGCTATGCCCAAAAAGAAGTTATTTGGCTTTAGAGGCCTAGGTAGTACTGGGACTCAAGAGTTGGATCTCTTTTAAATATAAATGTATTTCTTTAATAGCATTTTCAAAGACTTTGTAAATATTAAGTGGTATTTATATGTATATTTTATTGTAAAGTTAACAATTTTTTTATTCTTTAGCTTTTTATTATTTCTATCAATAATTACATTGATACCTATAGTTATCTAGTTATCAGATCACAATATTTATATATTATATATATGTGTAATTTGCAAGTAGCTTTTTTACCTCTCTCTACATTAAAACAGGTTTTCAACTACTGACACAGACTGGATAATTCTTTATTGTGGGGGCTGTCCTGTGCACTGTGGGATGTCTTAGCAGCATCTTGGCTTAGGTGCCAGTAGTACCAGTAATAACCTTTCCAAGTTGTGGCAACTAAAAATGCCTCCAGGCATTGCAAAATGTCCCTTAGGGACAAATCACCCCTGGTTGACAACCACTGCATTAAATTCATTCCTCTTGAGAATTTGGCTTTCCCTTTCAGTAGAAAGAGACTTTTTAATATGTTATTTGTTAGAAATAATTGTAGGGAGGAATTAGTAAATCACCATGAAAGCTTAGTCAGTCATTGACTTTTACAATTCTTCCCAGAACTGCTCCCATTCTTTTTTTTATACAATTTTTTATTAAGATATTATTGATACACACTCTTATGAAGGTTTTGCATGAAAAACAATGTGGTTACTACATTCACCCATATTATTGAGAACCTCCATACCCATTGTAGTCACTGTCCATCAGTGTAGTAAGATGCCACAGTCACTACTTGTCTTCACTATGCTACACTGTCTTCCCCATGATCCCCCCGACACACCATGTGTACTAATCATAATACCCCTCAATCCCCTTCTCCCTCCCTCCCCACCTGCCCTCCGTTCCCCCACCCCTCCCCTTTGGTAACCGCTAGTCTCTTCTTGGAGTCTCTGATTCTGCTGCTGTTTTGTTCCTTCAGTTATGCTTTGTTGTTACACTCCAGAAATGAGGGAAATCATTTGGTACTTGTCTTTCTCTGCCTGGCTTATTTCACTGAGCATAATACCCTCTAGCTCCATCCATGTTGTTGCAAATGGTAGGATTTGTTTCTTATGGATGAATAGTATTCCATTGTGTATATGTACCACACCTTTATCCATTCATCTACTCATGGACACTTAGGTTGTTCCATTTCATGGCTATTGTAAAAAGTGCTGCAATAAACATAGGGGTGCATCTGTCTTTGAATCTGAGAAGTTGTATTCTGTGGGTAAATTCCAAGGAGTGGGATTCCTGGGTCAAATGGTATTTCTATTTTTAGTTTTTTGAGGAACCTTCCTATTGCTTTCCACAATGGTTGAACTAGCTTACATTCCCACCAGCAGTGTAGGAGGATTCCCCTTTCTCCTCATCCTCGACAGCTTTTGTTGTTCTTAGTTGTTTCGATGCTGGCCATCCTAACTGGTGTAAGGTGATATCTCATTGTGGTTTTAATTTGCATTTCCCTGATAATTAAACTGCTCCCATTCTTTAAAAAATTTTTGTTTTATTTTTTTATTTTTATTTTTGGCAAGACTCTACTTACTGATTACATAAGGGTCATGTCTTGTTTGGCTATCCTTTGCTAAAGGAATTCAGCCCAATTGCCTAATAGGAAGTAATTTCATGGCAAAAGTAAATAGTCATATGAGTTTGTTCAGAAATACTTAACATTCAAACTGTTCTAAAATACAACGGATAAAGCATTCAACAATTAAAGAAAAGAGGAATGATATTTTTGTGCAAATTTCCCCTACTTTGATGTCAGAAGAACTTAAGACAGCCATCTTATAATGGTACTACTTAATTTACTGACAATAAATTAAATTCTCATTTTTTGTGCTTTCTGCCTAGTGCCCTAGAAGTTGTTTTCTCAGAGTGTAAAGGCTCTTTGGCTACTACTTAAATCTTCCTATTTCTCAGTAATCGCATGTTAAATAAATTAAATTAAAAAGGAATGTTTAATTTGATTTTAAATTTGTTTCAAAATAAATTTTTATCCTATTTAAATATTATAATTCTAATTATAAATTTTCTATGGAATTGAAAGTAACAGGTAACAATTTTTAAGGATTAACCTACTATGAGCCAGTTTTTTAATTAGTTTGTGATTTTACTTGTAATTAAGTATAACAGGAGGGAAAAACTTTGGGGAAAACAAGGCAGGAGCAATGATGAAAGAGAGCCCCAAGAGGGGAAATTTAACATAATACTATTAGATATTACCAGTTAAGTTAGTAGGGTTGAGAGATGGTGTGTCAACTGTTTTTTTACTGGGTGTAAATTATTTAATAAGGCCTTGGGAAGAAAGAAAATCTCATAAAGTGGATCTTTGGCTGTCTTTCCTGCATAGTAAAATTGAGTTTTGGTAAATTCTGTTCCCAGTGCATGGAAGAAAATGAAGGTCATCCCTATATAATGCTTTATACCTAAATTTTTCCTTAATATAGTTGTGGAGAGAAGTATTATTAATAAACATAATATACTTTTCATAAGAATACTGTATTTTAGATGCTTCTCTCACCCATAATGTGCTTGGAAAGTATCTAACACATTCTTATCATTTTACTTATTTAGAGACTATGTCAGGAGTGAACTGGAGTCCGCCTATGAAGGACCGATGTATTTAGAACCTCTCTCCATGAATCGGTTTACCACAGCCTTAATAGGTAAGTTTATACAAAAAATTGGAAATGCACTTAGGAATCAACTAGTCTGTCTTATACAATTGGTGCATACTTACTAAAGAAAAAAAAAAGAATCTCAAAGTTATTCATGGTGACTTTAAAAATAGCAACCATTGTTGAATTTTATATTTTCTTAGTCTTCTTTATCCCATGCATAGGTGTTTCTTATTTTATGTATTTATAATCATAGATAGCTTATAGTTGCTTGTGGGTATTTTAAGTGCCCTTAAAGATTAATTTTTAAATAAAGCTAATTATTGCTTTGTTAGATTAAAATATATAGGTAATGTCTTATTTATTGTTACTGAAAGCCATGACCCTATAGTCAAAAATAAATTGTCACGAGTGTCAAAAACTTTAGATGTGATGGAAATATTCAGGTAGCAGAATGTTGAAAATGGAAGAACTAGCTAAGAACCAAAACAATATAAAGTCCAAAGTGAGGTACCAGACCCTATCATGAACTTGTTTCGTGACTCTTAAACTCACTCACGTAGAGAGGGTTTTAAAAGGTCAAATGTTGGCAACTGAAGGAGGATTTCTTTGGAGAGAGCTCCTCCCCAGCTCTTCACATGAGAATTCATCAGTGGATCACTGGAAGAATCACACGTTTTCTGTGGCTTAGAGGGGATACTGTGGACTGTTGTCTAACCCTGGCCTGCAAAATCTAAAGCTGCACAATCTAAAACTGGCCTCATGTGGCTATTGAACACTTGAAATGTGGTTAGTGCAAATTAAGATATGCTGTAAATATAAAACACACACCATATTTCTAAGATTTTAGTACAAAAGTGGGTGCAACATGTCTTATTAATTTTTAAATATAGATTGAATATCTATATGATAATTTTGGATATACTAGGTTAAATAAAATATAGTTAGGTTAATTTCACCTGTTTGTTTCACTTTTAAAATGAGGCTACTAGAAAATTTAAAATTACATATATGGCCCATATAATTTTAATCTGATATAAAGGCCAACAGTGGTGTGGCTGGCTGTTGAGTTTTCTGGCTGTGGAATGAAAATCTTAATGTGGGGTTCTCCTGTACTTTCTAATCAGTGTAGGCAAAGGATGTTAGTTTCCTATGGACTAGATGAGTGCCCCAGGAATCTATGGGATTTTCTTAGGTTCTTCCAAGAGGAACCTTAGAAGGATGAGAAGGCTCTAGTAGGGATTGAACTTCCAGATTCTCAGGAGTGTTTAGGAGAGAGTCAAGAGTAGCCAGAGGGGAGGGTACATAACCAGCAAAATGATACTGCAGGTGAAAGATCCACAGGAATGGGAAGTTTCAGAAGAACCCATAAAAGTACCCAGGAGAAAGGTCAGCTTTAAATACCCCAACTGTAATGAGCATCAACACTATAGTGTAAGAGTACAATTGAGTAAGAATTTCCTATTTCCCTTCCTCATCTTCCTTACCTGCTTCAATCTTGGGTAAGACAGGAAGAGAGGGAGATCATGCTGCAAAGAAAGGAAGAATCCTGCCATTACCTGTCCAGCCCCTCTTTCAATTGTGGATGTTCTAGCTATAGTGACATAGGAGACCTGAACTAGAGGAAGGGAGAAACCTCAACTTTAAATCAGTTTCAGAATTTTGGTTATTAGATTTGTAACCTAAGCTAGATTAGAAAAGCATGGGATTTGCCTTAGGGGCAGAACACTAATCTTTATAGAGTAGATTTTAAAATATATTAGGAGACAAAAATAATGTTGCTTTATGACTATAGCCTATGAGTTGGTGTATTCAATAATGTTAAAATTCAAGTATGAAAATATTTGCTAGGTTAGAAAGCTTGTAAAGTGTTTGCTTTTTGTTCTGTGATGGACACAATTTCCTTTAAATTGGAAACATATTTCCTTAAGTTTTTCTTATCAGTGGCTGTGATAGTGTGTTTACTCAATGAAGATTCAGTTAACTGGAGACAAAACAAATCCATAAGCTGTTCAGTAGCATGTTTTCTTCCAATTTTGATTTTTAAATTATCTATTCCATTTCTCCCATTTCACGAATGAACTTTTAATGAAAAACTAAGTAATATAAATGAATACACCATCATTTCTTGAAGTTGCAGACCTCTTGGAGCTATTTCTAATAACGGAATCCTGAAATCCAAAGAGTATGTTGTGATTTTGATTTATTCAGAATTACCAGTTGAAGTAGGCAAATTAGACAAATTCCTATTCTTCTGGAGCTGTAGGAGAGGTTTCGACTAATAATATGACTCCTTCCTTCTTTCACCTAAATAGGAGAAGTAGCCTATGAGTCATATTCTTCTATGAAAGAAAGAAATGAAGCTTGTAACCGCAGAGCTGAGCACTGAATGTGCTGGCACAGGCTTATGGGAACTTTCAGAGCTTAGAGGAAGTTTACATCATGCTGAACAAGGAAATTTGAATATTGCTATGAGTACAGTGAAAGTAAGATATGCCAGAATGACACTTCCTAATCATTCCTAGTATTAAAGCATTTCCTCTAAACAATTTCTTTCTTTTAGAGTTAATAGCCAATTTTTTAACCAGACAAATACACTTATTTTTTGAAGTAAAGAAATACCTCAATGTTATAGTGAAATTTCTCTCCTGCACCACTCCTCTCCATTCTCAGGTGTCACTGTAACTCCTTTCAATTCATGATAATTTCTCACTTTTTTTCTGTTTTGTCCCTTTCTGGAAAACCCTGTTAAGATATGCTGTAAATATAAAACACACACCCAATTTCTAAGATTTTAGTACAAAAGTGGGTGCAACATGTCTTATTAATTTTTAAATATAGATTGAATATCTATATGATAATTTTGGATATATTAGGTTAAATAAAATATAGTTAGGTTAATTTCACCTGTTTGCTTCACTTTTAAAATGAGGCTACTAGAAAATTTAAAAAGGCTCCTCCTGCATTGACCCCCTAACTTTCTTACTGTTCTCCCTTTTTGATTTCTCTTTTTTTCTAATTATTATTTTTGTTTGTTTGTTTAACTTTGAGTTTTCCTAGCTTTATCTTCCAACTCGTTTGTGGGGTGTTATTTTTTGTTACAATTTTTTAATATCCAGGAACTTGTTTTCATTGAATGCTGCTTCTTATTAATGACAGTTATCTTTGTTTCTTAATGATGTATTTGTCTGAAATTTTTGTTCCTTGCATGCTCTTCCTTTCCTCTGAGTCTTTTTTCTTTCTCTTCTTGTCCTTGTCTTTCATGGGACAGCAGTATTTCTCAAGGTTGGATTAGAATGACTTGGTTATGTTAAATAAAGAATTGTAAATACTGATGCCTACACCCCATCTGAACCTGATTAAACCACAAGTTTTACTTAAATTTCTGGGAGCCTTTGACTGATCCTTTGTATTAAAGTGAGTTACTAAGTTGTTGATTGGAAGGAATCTCATTAGGGCTTGCCAGCTGGTACGTTTCATAATTAGTGTTCAAGTGGGACTGTCTATATTTTTGGGGAGAGCCCTAATGTGAGTATGTGTAGGTCTTTTCACTTGTACTTGGTCACTTTCCCCAAATAGGAATCTTTTATCCACTGTTGGGGAGGCTGGTGTCAAACTAGAATTGGGTGACTGTAAACATGGCAGCAGGTTTAGAGATCTAGAAAGATGTAATCTTTTGGAGTTCAGACTTTTACAGTTCTAATCCCCTTTTTCATTTGAGCAGTTCACCTCTACTTTGGGCTGTGCATAGTATTCAGAGTCCTGGCTTCAAATGTTCCCAGAGTTTAGTAGGCCCTCAGCGTGCAGTGAGTGATGATGGGCTCACATCAAGATTGTCTGCTAGGCTGGTTCCTTCTCCCTCATCCAAGCAAGAGTTCAGTTGCTTTAACGTTCCCATTTCTAGGACCAAGCTACATGACTTGAATCATGGACCCCCTACACCTTCACAGCCAGCAGGAGAGTATGTTGAAATATTTCCCTAACTCCAGGTCTATTTTGGTTTATTTTGTCCATTCTTTCCGCTTGGCTGGAGAATTGTGTTAACACTAGTCCTGCCTGGAAAATCATGGCAAATCTTCTTAAATCAAATGAAGAGCTGCTTAATACCAGGTGCTGCAGTGAAGCCCACCTGAAAGTTTGATCAAAGTTTGTCTGCAGTGGGTTTTCTCACCTTCTGACGATGAATTTGGGGGGAGCTTGTTTTCAGCCCCTCCAGAGAGCAACAGCAGGCTTCCTCCCAGGGCAGGGGAAGGAGTGGTGTGGCCTGGCTAAAATCACAGTTAGCTGCTTCATATCTTTTTTCTGTGCTCTAAAATGTTGACATATCTCACTTGGTGACCTCTTGTTTTCTTTATTATTAAGGTTTTTCCTCTTTTTATACCTTAGAAATGTTTTTCACAATATTTGAATATCAGTGCCTTAAAGGCAAAATTGATAGTTTGTGGAATACAGAAACCATTAAGGAAAAGATTGATAGATTTGACTAATAAAAACTTCTATACTGCAAGAAAAAAGTTAGTTATTAAAATATTCAAGTGACATATTGGGAAAATATAATCATATGATGAAGGGATTAACATCTTGATCAAACAATAAAAGGCTAGAATAGGCAAAGGATGAAACAGTATTTCACCAAATAATTACAGATATTTTTATATACATACTGGTAATGTTCAGTGCTGCTGGTAATCTACAAAATACAAATTGAAAAAAACGCAAGAAATACTCCTTGCCCTCTGTTCCTCAAGTTATTTTCACTGTTGACAAGTCAGTGGGGAAACGGGCGCCCTGTATACTAGTGTTTTGTTTCTGAAAATATGTGTCAAAAGCCTTAAAAAATGTTTCTTCTACTCAGTAATCCCACTTTTAGAAATTTAGTCTTAAGAAAATATTTGGAAATGTGCTCCACATAGTTTATACAGGGGCGTCATAAATGTACAAGTATGTTCACTTACAAAGCTTTTTATGATTATGAAGTACTTGGAAACAGCCAAATGCTAATATCGTATACATTCGGTGTAATGTACTGTATAACTGAGAAAACAACCTTATATATATTTATTAATGTGGAGAGATATATGCATAATATGTATTAAATGAAAAAAGCTGATTATAAAATAGTATGTATACCATAATCTTTTTATAAAACATTTGGGTATATTCACATACATGAAAAGGTGGTAATATGTATAGTTTACTTTTATTGAGCACTTTGTTTCAGATACAGTGATAAGGCTTTAATACTTCATTTAATGGTCCAAGATGTTGACAGTACTACCTTTAGGTAGTAGAATTATAAGAAATTAAAGGGTTTTTCTTTCCTTTTTTCCTTCTCTGGGTTTTCTAACTTTGCTATAATGATCATGTGTAATCCTCTGAGAGAAATTTGTTGCTTAAACTTTTCAGTTTTAATTTTCATTTTTGAGTCATTTGGGAACTCTTGCATGGTGCTGTAAAAGCAATTAAAGATTGAAAACTCGGAACAAATCTTGTCATACCACAGTCTTGGACAAAGAACTGTATCTCTTGAATTTTATGCCTTCATCTCTTGGCCAGAACAGTTAAATAGTGAGGATCTTTATAAAAGCAACTATCTTAGTAACTGAATTATTATAATATTAAGTTAGGTATTCTAAAAAACTTTCTCAATATTATATATGCCATCTGGAACATGATGAAGATCACAGAATGTGTGATTATGTAATTATGGTCAGATGAAGTTAAAATTTGGTTTAAAATACAGTGTATCTTAGAATTCTTCAAAAGCATGTCATCCTTATCAACAGTTTTTTGTTTTTATTTTGTGAATACCAAAATCTCAAAATTAAATTTATTCTTCTCCCTATTTTAGGTCAGTTGGTGGTATGTACTTTATGCTCCTGTGTCATGAAAACGAAGCAGATTTGGCTCTTTTCAGCTCACATGCTTCCTCTGCTAGCAAGACTTTGCCTTGTTCCTCTGGAGACAATTGTTATCATCAACAAATTCGCTATGATTTTTACTGGATTGGAAGTTCTCTATTTCCTCGGGTCTAATCTTTTAGTACCATATAATCTTGCTAAGTCTGCATACAGAGAACTGGTTCAGGTAAGACTGATAAGCACAGGTCAATAAAATTCTACATAAATATTAGTTATATTAAAGATTTGGTTCACTTTTATTTCACAGTCATGGTCATGCTAACATTCTGTTGACAGTTTTCATAGGAGCATCTGAGAGTCTTTAGGAAGTTGTATTGAGGAGGCAGTGAAGTGAAGTGATTCTCTGGAAGCAGATTGTCTGAGTTTTTACTCTGGTGCTTCTGTTTACTGGCTGTGTAACCTGGGGTTAGTCACCTAAGTTCACTTACCTGTATAGTAGAGCTAATAATAAGAGTTATAATTAACTCATAGGGTTGCTGTGAGATTTAAATGAATTTAGTGCCAGGCAGACTATGTTCAGTATGTATTAACTACTATAACAAAGACAAAAATAGTACAGAATTGAATGCCTAGAGGTCAAACCCTGTTTTTTCTTCTGATGGTAGTACTGTGATTACAGTTTTTCCCTGTGTTTGCCTAATTTATTTAAACTGAGAAGTTAGATAGTTCTGGGCTATCATATGATGTATTTCATTTAGGTGTGGTACTTGAACTGTTTTTTGCCAACATACCATGCTTCTGTCTCCTGCTTTTTTTAGCCTTTGCTCTAAAACAGGTTATTCCCAGACATAAACAGTAGATTCAGGAGATAAATATTTCTATTTGATTTAATGGATAAGTTTGTAAAATAAATCTTAAAACTGACACTGGTATAAAAAGAGAGTTTTTCTCCCTCTTGACCGTGTGCATATAACCTTAAGGTACAGGAAGATCTCAGATTAACCAAACTGATAATATTAAGTGAAGTAGTTTCTTTGTTGTTGTTGTGGCCCCAGGGGCAGACTTCCCAGAAAAATTTTCCTTAACTCTTGGCTTGAGCCTGGTTCCACCTTCTTTTTTCTCACCTGACAATTAACTTGGGTGGTGTTCCTGAAAGTAGGTCTTCCAAAGAACACGAAGTTATTTTCACACTGCACATGAAGAGCTTCCCTCACATCACCGGGAAGGATAGTAGTTGTGCTCAGAGTAAGAATGACAGATTTAAGATATATATATATTTTTTAAAATTCCATCTTACGTCATTATCCTAGTTTGTAAGAAGCAGTAGTTATTTAGTAAATATTAATTGGGCATGTTTATCTAATCACCGTAAGGACAAAGGCTCCATTTTTCAATGTCCTGTTTTCCCTCTTGGTTGCCATAAGATTCATGCATCACTAGGTGTCATAGTTGAAAACAAATTATAGGTTATGAAATTAATGACCTGAAAAGAATTATATAGGCAAGAAATGGCAACAGTCAGGATTTTTAGTGGTCTGTCTGGAACAGAAAGGAGAAGTACTCTCTACAATTCAGTGACCAGTTTGCTGCTAATAATAATTTTGCAGCGAGCTGGGCAATTTCTTTTTTCTTTCAATATTTTCTCATTGGGGAAAAATAGAGGTTAATCTTGACTAAATTTTAGAAAAAGCATTTGATTTATAGATGAAAAAATTCAAATTTAAAATTAACCTGCAAATTAATACTTAAAGGTGTTTACATAGAGATAGATGTTAATTAGAAACCAGAACAACTTGCAAATCAGTATATTTTAATTTAAGGTCTTTATAGTTTATTGAAACACTTTGTTGTCACATTGAGAGTTCCAACAAGACCATCTGGCTGCTTATGTTAGAGTTTATGATCTGTGTAGCAGAACCTTGTGTTACCAGGGTCTGGTCCCTAGCTTAGTAACTCTAGGTACTTGGTTACATCTATACTCTTAGGTTGAATCAGATTATGAGAATTGATTTTCCCCCTAATCAATCTCATAAGAGATTGTCAGAATATGAGAATTGATTCCTCCTTATCAGTTTCTTAAGAAATTATTTATAAACTAGAAAACAGATTTATAGTAGATTAATAAACTATTTTTAGGTATACCTCTTTTCCTGGTGTTAATGCACTTGCCAAATCAAATCAAATCAAATGTTACTGGACAAATACAGAGTAAGAATTAGGGGAATTAATTTGTCTGGGTGGGGAAGACTTGCTAACTGTCTTTGCTCCACAGTAGAGTAAAACTTCCCCAGTGATTATTCCGTCTTCCATCAAACTATTTCTCATCTATGACATTGCTGAATAAACCCTGAAAAATTCCTTCTTTTAAATTTCCCTTTTTCCTAACCCCTTAAGGAGTAGTGCATATATGATCCATGCTAGTCCTGGTCCTTTTGATTAGACATGAGTAAGTTATAAAAGTCTCAAACTGCCTTTGATATAGTTTTACTCTGAATGTGACTTTATTTTGGCCTCGTTCTGGGACTTTCAGGGCAGTGAGTATACTCATGCAAAATCAGTAGATTTTTAAAAACATTTTAAAGGGGTTTAACTGAAACAGTCTTACAATAAAAGAAAGGCTATTTAATTTTTCTCTTTAAGTACTTTAAACTTGTGTTTTAAAGTGTTTATTGAAGTAATACAAGATGTTTTCCTGTCTTATTTTCTTATTCAGGTAGTAGAGGTATATGGCCTTCTAGCCTTGGGAATGTCCTTGTGGAATCAGCTGGTGGTCCCTGTACTTTTCATGGTTTTCTGGCTCGTCTTATTTGCTCTTCAGATTTACTCCTATTTCAGTACTCGAGACCAGCCTGCATCACGTGAGAGGCTGCTTTTCCTTTTCCTGACAAGGTAAGTAATAGGAACATATGATACTATACATAACCTTAGGAAAAGAAAACTTTGATCTAGGAATAGTAAGCTTTGCAAATTAACTTTTATCAGTTATATTGTAGTACCTCATATTAAGCTAAGGTTTTTCATTCAGTAGATGCCTCAGTCTGGCAGTGCAGGGAGGTGCTAATAGAGTTTTGGCATGGTACATTTGGCTGCACTGTGCAACAAAGTGCAACAAATGATTTGTGGAAAGGTATGTAGTAAATTGTAAAAGTCATCTTTAAATTTGAAGTTTAATTATTGGGTCAATAAAAGAAAGAAATGTTATCAAGAATAGCTGTCATTTATTGAATAGTGTTTAATATGTGCCAGCGATTCTGCTAGAACACTGTGTCCTCATACTGTACCCACCCTGAGAGATAGCTTCCTTTATTATCATTACCATTTTATAGGTGAGAAACTACCAAGAGTAACTTGCCCCAGGTAACACTGCTAAAAGAGGCAGTGCTGAAACCCCACCAGAGTTCACACCTTGTGGCTTAACTCTGTGCTTTCACTATGCCCTGTTTTTTTCATGTTTTACTTCATTGTTGAGATAGAGTCAATTAATTGGTGGAATTATTACATCACCACACTTACTGTTTAACCTGAAGGAATTCTAAGACTTAGTCTTTAAGGCTTAGTTTTTTAAAAAAGATGAATTAAGTCAGTAGAGTGCTTTTTCCACTTCAGTGTCCTTTTGTGCTTACACTAGATCCACATTTGTTACTTTCCCACTCATGAACTTCAAGCCTTCAAAATCTAGCACATGGTATATACATCTTCACCTGTTGGCACATTGTCACATTAAAAGGCGAGAACAGAAACTCTTGTCCTCCCTAGTGGATAAAAGTTGAATTATAGTTAATAGAGCCATTGTTTCTCAGTCATCCAAAATGATGAAGCACTGTGCTACAAGTGGTGTGGATGGTATATACATCTTCACCTGTTGGCACATTGTCACATTAAAAGGCGAGAACAGAAACTCTTGTCCTCCCTAGTGGATAAAAGTTGAATTATAGTTAATAGAGCCATTGTTTCTCAGTCATCCAAAATGATGAAGCACTGTGCTACAAGTGGTGTGGAGAATGAGAGATTTAAGAAAAATACGCTGTCCTTAGGTGAAATAAAATAAATAAAAATGTCTCGGGGCAGTATCTATTTTGCAAATAAGTAGAAGAAACTGTGTCAGATTTTGTACTTCCTGAAAATAACAATTGATTAGCTTCTATAATCATACAGTAAATTGATAACAAATACATTTTAATCACCAGTTACTAGCTTTAACTGCTATTTATTTTTATGTAAATATTATGGAGGTTTTATGCAGAATTTTTGAATGATCTAAAAAATAAGTGAAATTAAAAAGAAAGAGATACAATCCTGTGGTTGGGATAATATAAGTGTGGGGGTGGGATTGGTTGTGTTTTAACCAGATTGTTACTGTAAAGCAGTATCAAATGAAGTGTAGCATAGTGTAATAGGCTTCACATATCAGTGAACTGAATGAATTTGGACATATTTACAAAGTAAGCAAATAATACTGAGATTTTAGATAAGGTTTAGTTTTCTTGCCAAAGTAAGTTTTCTCTCTCTTTTTTATATATGGGATAAATTACTTCTCAAAATAAGAATATTTTGATTTAGATCATGTAAGCATTGGTTCTTTATCCTGAATGCTCTCTGCACCAGGTTATATTTGTGTTTTCTTGTGAACGCCAGTTTATTTATAAAAAGAAAGATTATAAGTTTACCAGAATACTCTGACTAAACCAACAAAAAAAGTAAGCTCAAAAGCAAAAAGAAGGGTTTTTTTTGCAGCCAGAAAATAGAAACTAAGTGCAATAAAATGTCTCCTTGAAGACAGGGGAAGAAAAATTTTATAAATGACCCAAACTCTTTCACTTCCCCAAAGCTAGGTTGAAACCTTTTGTTTGCTTTAGTGTGGTCCTCTTGAAAATATAATTAAATCACACTTCTTGGGTGTAAAAGATTTCTCTAAATATTGAGACAAAAATAGAGAAATAGTATAAAACTTCAGTAAAATTTTCACTTTTCCAGTGAAAAGGAAATAAAATTTTTTGTGTTATTTTCAGCCATGATTCTTAATATTTTTAGATTATTGGACAATTTGTTTAAATATGTTATGTAATTTCTTGGAAAAAATGTCAAAAATTAGATTTGTTTAACAATGTTATAAAATTATTACTTTAACCATCAAGCACCATGACTGGTATATGTTTTTTTTGGCTTCTAACATAAAACCAGACCTTTTCTCCATCATAATGTACATTGGCCTACATAAAATTAGATGTTTCACCTAAAAGCTAACTTATAAGCAATTGCATAGGAAGGACAACTGTGTAGCAGAAGCATGGAGCAACAATAGTAAAGGAACAGGTATGGTTTTGCCCAAATGAATGCCTTATCCATATAAATAAAATTCTTTACTGAAATTGTAAAAGTTAAGATGTAGTGCTTTGAACATCTTCTAGATGCTGTGTAAGTGCTAAATCCAAATTATTAGTACATACTATCTATTTGCAAAACACTTGTTAATAAGTTAATGTCTTATACGTTCTGTGAAAGTATTGAGTGTTCCCCTAAAATATGAAAGTATATCCAAGCTTTTGTGTAAAGTCTTCTACTTTGCCTCATAAGTGGTATTCATAGTAAACTTTTATGCTAAAAATTGATAATTAAAATTATATTTAAGTTGTTGGACTGTATTCCTTTAAAATGCTTTTGAAATAACTCAGGAAAAAATGCATTTATCTAAACCAAAATTATATTTTAAAGTACCAGTACTATGGAAGATGCCTGCACAGTGAGAGGAGTCAGGAAGCAAAGTCAACATAGGCCCTCTCCAGTAGAGTTTGATCAAATAAGGGGGGTTGACAAATAACCACATACAGTGTGAACAATTTGAATAGTCAGCATGTTTCAGAAGGAACAATGGGCAACTATAGAGGTTTATTATGAATATTATCAGCATGTTAATTATATTTCTTAAGATTTGGACAAGATTTAAGCCCTTAGAGTTTTACTGCATTTGAAGGAAATGATAAAGACTTTGTTTTACATATGGTGCTATATACTGAATATTTGCCAACCAGATAGAAAAATGTAGGTTGGGATAATAAGGAGAATTGATTTAAATTATTAATGGAGTGGTTAGGTGATTTGATCTTAAATTTTGGTTTGGGGATTATGAGGATCCAGTCAAACTTTTGTGGTTATTTAAAGGCTTAAGATGTTTTTATTTTAAATAGAAACTTTTTATCTGTCAATATTCTCCCCCTTCTTTCTAGTATTGCTGAATGCTGCAGCACTCCTTACTCACTTCTGGGTTTAGTCTTCACGGTTTCTTTTGTTGCCTTGGGTGTTCTGACACTCTGCAAGTTTTACTTGCAGGGTTATAGAGCTTTCATGAATGATCCTGCCATGAACAGGTGAGTTCTTTATTCTGAATATCTCTAGAAATGTTAATGTCATCTATAACTTGAAGAAGTAATGATGAATTTCTTTGTTGATGAAGTTTAGAGGAATGGGGTTTTGAGTTTTTTGTTTTAAGTAGTTGCAACATTTGGATTAAAATTCTATGAAAAAATAACTGAATTCCCAAATATGAAAAATATATTTTTATTATATGTACAAAGCAATATGTATTGGACATGTTCCTTTCCTACAGTTATAAAAGAGTTTTTTGATAACTTTTCCCCATTTGAAGTTGAAGTGTAGCCCTGCTAAAATTAGATTTCTGTATTTGATACTTAAAGTTTTTTGTGTTTGAATATAATTTTGATACTGACTGAAGTTTCAAAGGACTCATTAATGAGGATACAGAATAGTTAATCTAATTGTTAATATCAGTAAGATCAGGTATTGGGAAGCCCTGTTTCTAGAACTTGTCATGATTTCTGTTATCTTAATACAAGAGTTCAGTGGTTTCATTTGAATAAATTTATATAATCTCTTCTTAAAGTCTTTAAACATTTATGGAGTATTCAGAATTAGTACATGCTGAATACCTTAAAAATTGGGGGTGAAATTTTTTTGTGTGTATATTTTTTTATGACAGAAAAGGAAACTTCTACACTCTATAATTTCCTGACTCTATCCCCATGGTGTCTTAACGTGATCCATTGTTCACTGTGTTTTCTCTTACATATGTATGTTTACTTTTGTAGTACATAAGGTAAGCTATTCCCCATAAGATTACTGATTTGAAGGGTATGTACATTTTAAATTTATTAGCAAATTTTTCTCCAGAAATTTTTTATCTGTTTATATTTCAACAACATAGTCTGTCCTCTATTTTCTCACATTCCTTGTCAGAACATAGGTCATCAAATTTTGATTGCTAATTTGTGGTTTTGTAAAGTACCTATATCTGCTCATTTCTCATTTATTTGTGAGAGTTCCTTATAAATCAAGTTAATAGAATAAAAGGTCTTAGAACTTTGTATTTTCTGTATGGAAATTGAACTAAAAAATTGTATTTATACTTCTGGGTTTTTTTGGTCTTTATGTCTTCTGGTTCTTACGGCCTACTTAAATAGACCTTTCCTACTCCAAGATTATAAGGATATCACCTATGATTTCCCCTTTTGTAATGAGAATATAGTTCATGATGTAAATATATGTATTCAGTGGATACTTAAGATTGGTAAAGGTATCTGACTCATTAGCAGAACTAATTTATTTTTCTTAGAAGTTTTTTTTCTCATTTTGTTAAAATATTAGCTATATTTTATATTTTACACATGTAGTGATATATTACAACTGTTATTACATTGATATTATATGATAATATTCTGGCGAGTTTTTTTCATCTAAGAATAGATCACAAACGTAACAACAGTCTAAGCCTTTGGATTATTTTCTCTCTCGAGTTAAATGAGAGTGATGGTTTGTTCTGAAAACTTTTGCTTTTTTAGGGGCATGACAGAAGGAGTTACGCTGTTGATACTGGCAGTGCAGACCGGTCTGATAGAACTACAGGTGGTCCACCGGGCATTCCTGCTCAGTATCATCCTTTTCATTGTTGTAGCCTCTATCCTACAGTCTATGTTAGAGATCGCAGATCCTATTGTCCTGGCACTGGGAGCATCTAGAGACAAGTAAGAAACTTTATAATATTCTGTATGTGAGTTTGTTGTCCGAAGATTTAGATAACATTTAGAGAGAGAAAATGGATGAGAAATTGGTATTAGCTTAAGTTAACAAGTTTACCTGTTTACTTTTCCTATGTTTGACTTTTTTCCCCCTCAAGATTCTAATAGTTAAAAGTCATATCAAAGGCTATGTAATTAAAATCAACTTTTTTCTTCAGAGAAATTAATACTTTAAATTTTTGTCCAGCTTTAAAATTAAGAATGTAGTGCATAAAATTTAGTTTTGTAAATATAGCAAATAATATATAATTTTATTCTGTACAGTGCTAAGGGGAGAAAACACAGTGAAATGTAAATGAGAGAAAACTTAAGGTTGTCAGGCAATCATAAAGATTAGCATTTATGGAATAACAGCTTCATTCGATGGCCTTTCGGCAATTGCAACTTACTGTGGTTATACTGGTGATTCTTGACACCTGATGGGACTAGATGAAATTCATAGCTGAGTTCATGTTCATCTCATGATAGAAGTGTTCTTAAGGAATAAGGGCCAAATTATTATCAAAAATTATTTTGGCGTATTGTAGTCTACACAAGGACATTCTAGGAGGACTTGCTTAAAATTCAGTGCCGTTGTTTCTTTCTAGCATCTATCCACACTCTAGTTATTACTGATTACCAAAATACCTGAATTTATTGCTTCTTTGATGTAGTGCTTTATGTGTAAGAAATAAGTGATCTTTGGGGAGACAGAATTTTTACAGCAGATTTTAAAACCATTCCAAATTAGCATTTTAATTATAGTTAATCAAATTTAACTTTCTGTCTCCATTTCCCACATTGCCAGACATTCTAAAAAATTTTTCAAATGGTAGAATGCCTGAAAGAATCAGTTTAATTTCAGTAAACTCAAAGCCCTTAGATTTGTTTTAGATAATCTTAATGATCATTATAATTACAGTTCTAAAAGATTTAGTTTTTAAGATCTAAGGTTTTTCAATAGAAGCATTTAAAATGGTGAATTCAATGGTGAACTCAGTTAAATAGACCTTATATTGTCTTGTTTTTGACCTGGGTATAGTTATTATGTCATCTCTGGCAGTATCCTTCAGTGTTATTAAGTATACTAATTAACATGTATCAATAAAACTAATAGAATACTATAGAAGAGTCTCAAAAAGATAAGAAAAAAACAACATTGTTCCATTGCTATAAGAAGTAGTATATTCTTCCTGGATGCTGAACTAGCTTCATAACTGGCTGCTTCTTCCAAGGCCAAATAAGGAGGCAGTTCAGAGGGAAAGGAGCAAAACAGAGAAGCCCTGTGTATGTGGGGGAGTTACTTGAATTGGTGTCAGTGTTACTAACCGATGTCTGAGGCAGAAGATGCTCTTGGTTGTGAAAAGATAAAATGGAAATGAACTGCTGGGTTCTGTAGTACCCTCCCATCATTGCCTATGGTAATAAGACAATACTGTTAACAGCTAGATGCCAAAACTTTTCAAAACAAATAAAATGGAGAAATTGTAAGAAAAGTAAAACCTATAGAACTGATTCAAGAAGAATTAAAAAGCTCGTATAGTTCTATAACTTTTAAAGAAGTGGAAGCAAATTGTGGACATACTGACCCAGATGGCATTACAGGCAAGTTCTACTAAACTTTGAAGGAACCAATTATCCCTAGTTTAAACATTTCCAAACCCCAGTTCATTCAGTGAGGCCAATATAATGCCTATATTAAAACCAGACAGACAATTTGAGAAAGATAAAGTTTTGTTTTACTTCCAGTAGGAGATAGTATGAAACTTTTGTAATGTGGGCTAAAGTATAGATAGCTTGACTGGTGGAACAGAGAGCCCTCCTAAACAGATCCATATATGTGTGGAACTTTGGTATATGACAGAAGTGCCATATCAGATAAAGTGCGGACAGGTGGTACTCTTCTGTAATGTAGCTGGAAAAATATGGTTTCTGTTTGGAAAAGGATGGAACTGGATTCCTATCTCACACCATAAATGAAAGAATCAACTACAGAATGTTAGAGATCTAAATGTCAACAATAAAAAATTGAAATTCTACATAGGTTAGTATATTTTGGACCTTCAAGTAGGAAAAAGTTACTTAACTTGACAGAACTGGCTATGGAAGACTGGGACTATGAGTTTGAAAGAAAGGTATGATAAGTCCAACTATTAGAAGTAGTTAGATTTTTTAAACCTAAAGACAACCTAAATAAATTGGGAATGATAATTCAAACTGGGAGAAGCAATTCATAGTATTCATATTTGTTCAGAAATTAGTAACAAGAATATACAAATCAGTGAGAAATAGATACATCATCAGGCTTTTAGAGAAAGAGGAAACGCAAATGAATATGAAAAGAGGTTCAATATCTTTAGTGATCAGAGAAATATAAATCCAGACCAGTGAGATACTATTTTAATGTCTATTAAAAAAAATTTTTTTAGTGAGATAATATTTTAAACAATTTAAATTTTAAATTGTGAGGTTGACCATTAATAAGTAAATAGAAAGGAAGGAAGGAAGAGACAGAGGGAAGTCACCTGACAGTCAGGGTGGTAGAAGGTATTATAGGATATCCCAGGTTTCTAGTTGTAATCACTTTGGAAAACAGTTTGGCGTTATCAATTGCATTTATACTTAATACAGTCTTGCACAGGTTGAGTAGGGGCATATACTAGAATGTTCATAGCACAGTTCACAGTAGCAGAAACCTGGGAACAACGAAAATGCCCATCAGACAGGAAGTGGGTGAATAAATGTAATAGTCACAGTGGAATGTTAAAAAAGTCAGTGACATGTAAAACACTGAATAATTCATAGGAATATGAAGTTAAAAAGTAAATGCAAAACAAAACAATATAAAAAGTTGTTTTTATGTTAGAAACAAAATTTTAAAATACACTCTTTAGGAATATGGATAGCTTAAATAAACAAAATTGTAAAAAGGAAAGCAAGAGAGTGAGTGAAGAGCACAGGATTGAAGATAATGGTTTCATTGGGTGGAGGGGAGGCAGAGCATGGAATAGACAGACCTGCCATATGGTTAGATGTGGATTATCTAGGCCCTCGCTCTTGTATGGGGAGCAAGGTTCATGAGTGCTTGTTATAGTAATCTAAAATAGCTAAATAGATTACTAAACTAAATAAAAGGAGGGACATGCACAGACCAGTGACAGTAGTATATTCTGAATCAAGTATTATGATCAGTTCAGTGTACTGGGGATTAAAAAAAAAGTATCTTAATTCTCAAATTAGAGGAACAATTAAAAGATAATATTGGTAGTCCATGAAACAATGCTGCTCTCCAACATTAAAGAAATCAGTGTTGGGAGAATTGCTTGTGTCACTGGCATTGCTTGGACTAGAGGTGACTTCAGTGTTTCAACATAAAAAGATTTTTTCAGGTAGTTTTAGCCATAGAGATAATTGTTACTTTTATCTGTAAATCTTACTGCAGCTTTTTAACAAGGAACTTAAGGACTATAGTCTACTCACTCGAATTATATAGCAGACTTTTAAATAACACACTTCTTTTTTTATTTTATTCTGCTTAACCTAGTAGTGAAATGAGATTTCAGTATCATTTTTCCACTGTTCTTTTTATACTTGTTTAATTTTAAATTAGATTTTCATTGAATTTTAACTGCTTAAGGGTATAAATATATGTATGTGTGTATGTAGTATGCACACCTATATCAAAATTAGACAAATTTAAAACTTGGCATACTGTTATATATATATACTTTTCTGTGTATTTATGTAAATATATGTGTATATATATATGTCTATTTTATATAAATAAGATATACATTTAAAATTTTAAGGCAAGTTGCCTTATTAAATGATTTATAATTTATCATCTAGCATAGTATAAATGTTATAGTAACAGTAATTCCTGCCTGCCTGCCTTTAAAAAAATGAAATTGTTTGTTAAGCATCCCAGAGCAGAGTTACTGACAGATTTATATTTGTCTCTCAACTTCTGATAATAGAAATGTTTTCTAAGAAAAGATATAAAACACTTTTCAAAGTACCTAGCTTTAATTCTTAGCCACAATAATATTTCACTTTCTTGTTAGTTACAAATTGCAGATAGTCTAACACAACATAGCATTTAACTCTGTGTATGGGCATTTTTGTCTCCTTGAGATGCTTTGTATGGATTTGAGAACCTATCACAGATGCTGATATTTAATTAAAACATCTTAATTTTGTAGCAGCCATAAGCTTTAAACTATTTCTGTTGAAGTCTACATTTCCTTCTGGCTTTAAATAATCTACATTCATGTTTATATAATAATAAATCATTAAATAATAATGTGAAGTTTCAATATTCAGTTTATATAGATTGCAGCAAGTTTTGTTTTTAAGAGGGAAAAGCTATTTGGGCTCATGGTGATTTCTTTCTAGATTTGTGATCACTACGTTAAAAAAAACTACTCCAGCTTTCGCTTTTATTTACTCAAGAAATGAAGTATCTAGTTTTTTTTGGTTTTATTTTTAATTCTTACAGAGGGAATAGGCCCTCTATCATCTGTTTGCTTATAATTTGGGTAAATAAGTAATTCTTTAAGTAAGCTTGTAGTGGGGGAATTACATCCGTTTTTCTTATTACACAGAAAGATTTTTCAAAGTTCTGCTTCAGGCATTTGGTTGGGGAGGGTTTTTATATATTTATGTTTTAGGATTTGGTATTCAGTCTGTCTTAAATCGGTGTATATTTATGCATGATCTGTTAGAGTGTTTCAGTGTATGAAGAGATACACAAAGGAAAAATTATGTTCCTTCTTTTGCCATACTAGGGGACTTCTCTTATAGTATGTATTCTACTACTGACAAGTGTGGATCAAGTGGAATCTGAAATCTAAGAAATCTCTTGATTTGTTTTGTAACTTACAAGCATAAAATTATACATGTAGCTACTCCTCTGTAAACTAATCATGATAACTTGTCCTGCTTATATCATAGGGCTTTGATATGGGTGGAGAGATGAATAGGTTGGAAAAGGCATGGTAATATATGGAAAATAATTTGAAAAATGTCAAGCAGAAGTAAATTTTAAAGTCTTACTTGACACTTTTAACAAACTTTTGTGGTTAGGAGCTAGGCTGTGTGAAAGAGTTATTGTCCTTTTTTCAAATTTAAATTTGGGTGATACTTTATGTATGTGTATGTATATATATGTTTATTGTATTTATATATTTTTTAAAGTGTTTACATATAATACAGAAAATATATATTGTGAATATTTATGATTGTAAGAATGCTACAATTCAGTGTATGATTGGTTGGTACAGGTGTTAAGAATCTGAGAGGAGAAAGGATTTATATTATCTGAATAAATACATTTGTTAACTTAAGCTAGCCTAAAGGACTTAGAAAAAGAAAGTGAGATGAAATTCTGGTGTGATGTAAGAATGCATGTATTTTTCTGGGAGGAATAAATGAACCATCTTTGCTTATAGTGAAAAACAGATGTTAATAAATTTGGACCAAGAAATTGGAAGTGGAGGAGCTCAAATGCCAGGCGAGGAAATTTAAAGATGTTGGCATTATTATGTTTGTAGAGCTTTTGGAAGGTTAATCTGGCTGGTGGTGTCCAGGACAGATCAAGGGCTAGAGGAAGGAGGACCAGCTAGTAGGGCTTCCTCACTGGAGAGTCATTCCCCTTTGTAACACTGCACTCAGGGCAGCAGAGATTTTCATCACTGGGTGGAACAGGTGGGGAGAGGATGTGATTTAAGACTACAGATTACTGTTAAAAAGTTTAAAGTTTAATGCTACAAAAGTCTGAAATCATTTGAAATTGCTAGGAATGGGAATGAAACTGAAAGCAAACTACTGAGAAAAAAAAAGAATTGATGGTTCTTGGCAATTGTGACTGTGTGGAGACTTAAGGAAAGAAATGAATCAAAAGGCTTTGACATAGCAAGCCTATGACATGACTTGCCCTGAAATGTAGCACAGGGTCTTTGTGGAGAAAGGTGCTCAGTAAAGTATTTGTGAAATTTAAGAACAGCACAAGATCTCTTAGTTGCTAATGTAATTGTACTTCTAGGTGACAGGCACTTTTAAAGAATATTTTTCTTCTTCTAGGAGTTTATGGAAACACTTCCGTGCTGTGAGTCTTTGTTTATTTTTACTGGTATTTCCTGCTTATATGGCTTACATGATTTGCCAGTTTTTCCATATGGATTTTTGGCTTCTTATCATTATTTCTAGCAGCATTCTCACCTCTCTTCAGGTAAGCCTATGATTAATTAACTTCATATAATAAATGATTTTATTTTTCCTTTTAGAAAAGGAATTAAACTTTTTTAAGATTAATGACCATAACTGGCCTTTTTAGTGATTACTTCCCACACTCTTTACTGGAATGTGTTACATTTATTTGAGCATAGGATTTAGAAGGTCGGTTATTAATATACTAGACCTGCACATGTCACTATATTTTTTTTATCAAGCTAATTAAACAATTTTTCCATTTCAAAATGTTATAAGAGCTGTCATGTAAATCCTGAATTTATAAGTAACTAAACTATTAAAAGATTCTAGAGTTTGTTTGGAGCACATTTTTTTAGTAAATACCCATATGAAAATATCCACAGTTTCATGCTGTATATAAAAAGATGGTGTATGTGTGTATTACATACACAGTCGTGATGTATTCACACACACACACACACACACACACACTCTCTCTACTGCCCTGGAAAGATAAGCTTATTGTAACTTGAAAGTGGACCTTTGAAGCCCAATCAGTAAGAAGTAAAAGAAAATGTGGCACTGGCAATAAAGATAAATTCATTGTTTCTTGTAAAGCTAAAGGTTCTTTGAAAGTTGAGATACATGTATGACTATAGAATTAGGAAAATTTAGGTAGCATTTTGATGGGTTTAGGTGACCTGGGGAATAAGGGGAAAGGAAGAGTCAGAAAACTGATTAGGAATCAGAATCATTTTAGGAAAGTTAGGTCTCTTTAAGTATGGCTTTTTGGTATCAAATACCTGGATTACCATGATCACCTCCATTTTCATACACCACTGTCTTCTCTAGATATTAAATGTTGCATCATGAAAGTATTAGGAATGTGTCAATGTTATAAATTTATGAAACACCGTTCTTAGTGATTCTGTTCTAATACACATTTTTTTCCCCAGGTTCTGGGAACACTTTTTATTTATGTTTTATTTATGGTTGAGGAATTCAGAAAAGAACCAGTGGAAAACATGGATGATGTCATCTACTATGTGAATGGCACTTACCGCCTGCTGGAGTTCCTTGTGGCCCTCTGTGTGGTGGCCTATGGTGTCTCAGAGACCATCTTTGGAGAATGGACAGTCATGGGGTCTATGATCATTTTTATCCATTCCTACTATAACGTGTGGCTTCGTGCCCAACTGGGGTGGAAGAGCTTCCTTCTCCGCAGGGATGCTGTGAATAAGATTAAATCATTACCCGTTGCTACAAAAGAGCAGCTTGAGAAGCACAATGATATTTGTGCCATCTGTTATCAGGTAACTTGCACAGTAAGAGTCCATTTGGATGGGTCACATCCTGTGTCCCTTGGGAGTTTTAACATGCTAACCAAATTCAAGTTAAGTTTCCAGGCAGCATTATCTCCTGGGTAAAAAAAATGTGGGCCTTAGAAATTATTAAAGACCTGATAAAATATTTCCATTTTATTTCTAAATTAAGCTTTTAATTTAGTCCCTCAAGTTCTAATTTATTGTTATTTTCAACATTATTGCTCACCCATAAATAAAGGAAAAACAGGTCAGGTGTATTTTATTTTTACTCCTGAATATATATACACACACTCAAATATATGTACTATCAAATATAGTCTATAAATCAGGAGTCAGCAACTTCTGAAAAGTGGTGTGCCAACATTCTGACTCTTCCTGCTGGTGCTCCTAGGGTGGGCTGGAAGTGTGACTTACTGTAGGTGGAGAGAGAATGTGCTGTGCGGACCGCTGGCTCTCTGAGATGGGTCCAGGCCTCTGCAGGAAAGGCGGTGAGTTGGAGACATCAGGTGCTCTGCCGTTGCACTTGGCCCACCTGGCGTCCTTGCACATGAGCCGTGAATTGCTGATGATTGTCTTCTATTAAAAATTGAAAGATAGTATTTAAATCAGCTTGGAAATACAACAACAAATAGGCCTGCAGTTTAGTCACTAGTGACCTGTGCAAGAAGGTGGTGGAGTAGCAGCTTTTACAGCTGAACTGTACTGTTGGCAGTGTGGACAAAAATGATGGGCAACAGCAGAAATTGTTTGTGTGAAGTCACTGTTCAGGGTGTGGGCTGATGTAAGGAAACTAGCTGTGTCAGTGAGTGTGCGGAGAAGGTTCTTTCTCCAAGGTTGCTGTACAGTTTAGATGTGTGTGTATGTGTGTGTTTAAGACTATCCAGAATAAGAATTTTTTCCTAAGAACAAAGTACAGCTACTACTTTTTTGTTATTGGAGCATACTTTTGGGTGCTAGCAAAATAATGTTTTCCTGGTTGTTTTGGGGGGCTGACTGAGGAGTGATGTGGGTGCCCCAAAGAAAGCGGCCATTGTCAGGTCTGCCCCCTTTGTGCCTCGGTAGACTTGTGCACAGGACGAAGCACATCGAAGACAGGTTCAGGGCCCATCAGCTTCAGCAGCCAATGAATCTCTGGGGTTTAGGAGTGCTCCTTTTATATTTGCTGTTGCCACATCACTTTTTTTGAGATGCTAGAACTACCTGCTGACACCACACAGAAAATGAAAGTCAAATTGCTTAACTTCCCAGCTGGCTGCTTTTCCTTGGATGGCTTTCTGCTTAAAAGTTGACTTCCAGGTGTTACCAGTTCTTGGCAAGGAATTTCTATGATAGCCACAACTCCTTGTTTTGGGACTTTAAACAAATTAATGGTCGAGTCACCAAATGTATATTCTTACAGTTTAAACATCATGTCCTCAGCCTTTCTTCCGTGAGTGGATCTAATGTAAAGTTGCCACTTCTTGCTGCAGTGGTTTTCAAACTTGAGTGTGCGTGAAGGTCACTTGGTGGCGTGCTGTAACAGTAGATTGGTGAATGCCATCCTGAGATATGCTGATTGAGTGGGACTGGTGGCCCAAGGATATGCATGATTAATAAGCACTCTGGGTGATTGCTCTGCAAATTAAGAAACACTGGCTTATATGGACCCTGTTTTTAAAACTGGGTTATAGACATTGTCCCAAATGAAATTGCCACTTCCTTGCCAATACCCTGGTGTTATGTGGCTGATTTTGACTCCTTGACAATAATCTGCTCATGGAATAATCTGTTTGACTGTACTGAAGCGTAACTGTGGGAACAGTCCTGTCATGAGATTTTTTTGAGGTTCTAATTATACTCATGCTGTACCAATGGAGACCCAGTAATCCTCCTGCTACAGTTGTGTGACCCTCTTGTTTCATACTCAGGCCAGAGCCCTGTGAAGAAGGTTGTTTCAACATCATTTTTGGTTTTTACTTCCTTTATTTTTTTATTACTTGGCCAGTGGTTCTTGTTATAAAGGGGTCTCTGATGGCAAGAGGATTATTACTAAAATACAAAATGAGTTTTATTCTAAGATTCATATTATAAATTTTCTGTGGGGAATTTGTGGGAAAGAAATGTTGGAACTAGAAATTTTGGGGGTAGTAGCAACGGTTTTAGATAATGAACATTTATGAGGCATCTTTTTTCCCCCTTCTAGGACATGAAATCTGCTGTGATCACACCTTGTAGTCATTTCTTCCATGCAGGCTGTCTCAAGAAATGGCTGTATGTTCAGGAGACCTGCCCCCTTTGCCACTGCCACCTCAAAAACTCCTCTCAGCTTCCGGGGTTAGGAACTGAGCCAGTTCCACAACCTCAGGCTGGAGCTGAGCAACACATAGTGCTTCAGGAGGGTACTGAACCCCCAAATCAAGAGCATCCTCCATGGCCCGGGAGGCACGAGGGCTCTAGGGACAATAATGAGTGCACTGCCAGCAGACCAGAGAGCCAGGAAGGGACTTGGGATCCCAAGGAATATCCTCATAGTGCACAAGATGAAGCACATCCTGTTGAGGTCAGCCAAGAAGAAAGGAAGCAGGAGTAACACTTTGAGACTCTGGAGAAATTAACTCACAATGGCATTTGTGCTCAGATTTGAGGAATGAATGTATGAGGTGATTAGGCAGAACACTTGACATTCCAAGGATCTAATCCAGGAAGTACTCTCAGTGGAGACCACCTGCTTTCATCCCCTTGACATTGTGGGAGAAATTTTGCAATGTATGCTAATTGAAATGTATTTATATATCCTATGCTGATGTTTTGTAGAGGTTTGCCAAGAAAATTCAACCTCAGCAACTTCAGAAACTGCCCCTGATTTGTAAGGGATAAATAAAATCAGATTTGAGTGTTTGAAAGGGGCTAAAGAAAGGAGGATAAAGAACAGGACAGCATGGGAAGATCAGGCAGAAGTGGAACTGACATTTCACTTTCTGTGGGACAGGATCGTTCTTGTTATGAAGTATGAGTAGTGACTAGTCCTTTTCTCACCCTGCCCTCTTCCTCCCCATTCCCTCATTTAACTGAAACTCAGTCAGGTGATTTTTAAGTTTTGTACAGCACTGAAATGAAATCAAAGATGTAAAAGCATTGATTGTATTCAAAGATTGAAGCACGCTCAGACTTCCTATGTGCTTTAGGGGCGTGGGTGGGAAGGCACGTGGGCCTCGCGGGTGCATTCATGTAATCGGAGACTCTTGAACTTTATGATGGAGTCCTCAATATTTTGATGTATATGAAACTTTTGTTAATACATTGTTTACTGTGTTGGCTGTGTGAAGTAAACTAAAACTCTAATGAACACTTTGGAGTCCATGTTAGTGTAGGAGACCAAAGTGGGAAGGGCTTTAGGGCACTGATTAAGGCCCTAAGTGTACTTTTAAATCCTGTGTAATGTTTAATCCTTGCAACTGAATCAAAACAGTGTTAAATTATGGCAATATTTGCACTTTGGGAATGAGTACATAACTGTATGATCACATTCTGCAAATGCCATTTTTAAAGCTGTTGTTAATAGACTTTGCACCTTTTCTTTGACAAAGATGTGTCATATTTAAATTTTTACATTCATCATGGCTACAGGTAGAACTGGGGAGGGGGGTATGTAATTTTTTATGGGAATTTTGATATGAAAAGAAACTAGTCATTTATTTATACAATAGGCTTGGCTCAAAAAAGTGTTTTTCAGACTCAATATTCCTAATGTGGGATGTGACTTTATTTTATTTTTAGTAGCAAATTTGGATGTAGACTGACAGACATAGCTGAATGTCTTAATAAATTTAAATTTGAAGATAACTATTTTGTTCCTGTGGTTATTGTAAAATGTTAGGTTGAAATTCCATTCTTAGGTTTTATTTTAAGATAGCTGCGCTTCTTGTATCTTGATCCCTCTCAGAAATGCCCTGCAGATGGCAATATTTTTTTTTATTGAAAGGACCAGTGTTTTGAAATATAATAGTGATAGCAAACTTACCTCTATATCAGAAGCATCTGGGGAGCTTTTAAAAAAAGCGGACACATATCTGAGTCCCATCTCAGACTTACTGAATCAGCCTTTGGCAGTGCCTGGGAACATGTGTTCAGAGCTTCATGGGTGACTATCCAGCTGAGCCTGGTGCCAGCAAAGAAGTGGCTAGGTAGAATGACTTTATCCCCATGTGCAGCTGGAAGCTTCTCTCCATCCTCTGGTGGCCTAGGTTAGGCAGAAAACAGAGCAGATGGCTCCCTCTAGGGGTGGGCTGTTGTCCAAAGACCTAGCAGTGCTCTCAGATTACAGTCTAATTTTCAGCCTTTGTGTAAAAGCTGCATGTTCAAATATTAAACTTCTTGGTGTCTTGTTAGAAGGGATAAAACTGCCAATAAAATTGGAATCATTTATGGCATGGAGCACTTGGTGATATTTGAGCAGTTCTTCACACTTTTGACCGACAGACTCATACAGACTGAGTAGAAGTACTCAGACATTTCAATAAAAGTCGAGACTAATGAGACATCAGTTTCACATTACAATACGCTTTTCCTCCTAATAGCACAGAGACCCCAGCTCTGTTCCCCAATTCACATGGAGCCTGTCAGCAGCAGTGGACAAATAATGCCTTATCAGTGTGCATCCTTTTGTTTCAGTCAGAAGAGCTGTATTACCCTACAGTAACAAAACCCTGAACATTTCAGTGACTTTACAATGACAAGAGTTTGTATCTTACACACTCCATAACGTGTCTGTGAGGCGGCAGAAGTGCTCCAGGTGGTGTAGACCCTTGGGGAGCTAGGCTGATGGAATAGCCCCTTTTGGACCTTCCTGATGGTCATGGCCAAGGGAAGGGGCTCTGGAAGGTTGTGTGTTAACAATGACACTTCCTGGCAGTGGGCGCCCTTCCCCTCATCACCCCTTCTCACCCACATGAGAGGCTGTGGGAGTTCAGTCTAATCCCGTGGCCTGGAAAAAACATACCAGTGGTGTGACTACAGGCCACAGCTGAAGCAGCACTTCATTTTATTTGTACATTATTTAAAATGTGGACTCATACCTGCGAACGGTTCCAAACACACCAGTTGAGAATATCTCACTTAATTTGCTGGATGACAGAATTGTTAATGTCATCTCTTTCAAATTAACTGTTGTCTGGAAATTTTTATAATAGTTTCCAACTCACTGCCAGACTTAATGACTTAGACAAAGTTTAACCACCTAGTTTGCACTACTGAAAACAAAATTAGACTATATTTCCCTTCTATTATGTTTGATCAAAATTAAGTGAAAAAATCATGTCCTTTTTAGGCCCTTCTTAGTCCACTTTTCCTGTCCATTTAATGGTTTCCACTGCTTTTCAGACAGCGCATGCATGTTTTCATTCAGCATCAGTTTTCTTTTAGAAACTTTGTCACCTATGAACTTTGACATCCAAGTTCGTACTACACAATCTAACCCCTCATACTAGTCACATGTTCCCATGTTTCGTTGTCTTTCCTAATGTAAGACCTGTTCCAGTGCTCTAAGTCAGGTTATTTGTACAGCATGTCTCCAGAGGTGCGATTTTAACACACCAGACTGCACGTGAACCTCCTGGGGTCCGTCCTGAGGGCTTCCCTTGTTTCCTAGTGTGCCATATTTTCATGAACATTTTACATCAGGAACACTCTGCTTTCCCACAAGGTTTTGACATGGTGTCAAATGTGAATTGATTTCTTAAAGGAGAAGGAAAAATTTTGTAGTTCCCAAAGTTTAGGAAGGAGAGCTTTTTTCTATGGCTGTGGTAATGGGACAAGGACGTTATGGAGATGTAAGCATTAACAACTTATGTGCCAATTTTGAAACAAAAAAGGCTTAAAAAAATTAGGGGTTTGCTTCCACTCTGGCTTTCATAAAAATAGTTTATCCAATGTTAGAATCGTGGCAAGAAATGAAGGGATGAAGGTAGGAATTAAATGCTGTATGATTTTTAAACATTTTCCCTCATTTTTTTGAACTTATTATTTGTCAAGTATTTAAAAAGAATAAAAATCACTCATGATCTCACTTTTGGAATGAGTCTTTTCAAGTTACTTGGATGTTGGGTGATAGAACTCCCCACTGACAAGCACTCCCCAACCTGGGAGTTGTTTTCACCTCTCTTTTTAAACTCTACAGCCCATCATTCGGCTTCTGCAGTTCAAATACATCCCAAACAATTCTGTAGTTTGTCAGTAAAGCCACACCTGTTTCTCCCATCTTTGAGCGTAAAGAATTCTATGACTTTTAAAAATAGGGCTACAGGAAGTACTTGCTTAGAAAATAAAAATGCCAGAAGCAGCTTTTACAATTAGTTCTTGTGGTTAGAACTTGAAAAACACTTGCTTTCTCTCCTTCAGTGGATTTGACCTTGGCTTGCAATGCAGTACAAAGGTAGGATGTTTCTAGTGGGAGACTGGGTGAGCTCTGCTGTTAACCATGCTTCTGGAGTCTATTCATTTTCCTTGTTCTTATTAACACTCATGTTGGTATTCGTTTACTAACCAATTTTTTATGAACCTTGACTTTTTGACCCTTAATTTTTCTTTCTATTCATATTAGACGTAAGCAACTCCTTGCTTTTCTGTTGTTTTGTATGTTCTAAGGTTAGAATGGCTTCTGACTAGCTGGAAATAATAAACTTCATGAATGTACAAGAAATTTGGAGTCAATTCTAAATGGTCTACTTTATTACTTTCCAAATGAGAACTTGCCAAACTGAAGTCATGTCTCTGAGCAGCATCAAGTCGGCTAGTTTCCTTTGATGGTCCTTTATCAGCCCCCTTGGATTTAGGGAAATAGGGTGTAGAAGGGGTAAGAGGAGCCTTGATTAAAGGCAGGAGCTCTGGGCTGTAACTGTTCTTCCCTTTTGAGTTGTGTGATCCTCGGCCAACCTCGGTTTTCTTGGGCTTCAGCCTCATCTAAAAATAATGATCTCTGAGGTATCATTCTGCTCTTAAGATTTTGTCCATCTGTATTTTTAAACCTTTACTACTGAGTGATGGGCTTCATATATTTTTGTATGTGCTCTGCCAAATAATAAACTTAGCTAAGGTTCAGTTTATGGTTGTGTTCCCGATGCCTGGCATAGGCCCGAAGCTCTGCATCTACTGAGTGACAGTTGAATTTAGGATGTGACTCCTCATACAAACCCCATAGTTCAAAATGGGCCGAGAGTTCTGTTCTAGAGGGAGAGAGTGTAAGTGTAAGGTTACAAGCCAGCTCGACAAGGTGATTGCTGCAAAGGGCTTCTTTAAAAAGTATCACCTATACACAATCTTATGGAGGTTTCACATGAGCAACATGGTCTGACTATACTCACCCATATTATTGAGTCTCCCCCAATGCCCCGCCACAGTCACTGTTCATCAGTGTAGTAAGATGCCAGAGTCACTAGTTGTCTTCTCTGTGCTATACTGCCTCCCTGTGAACTGCCCCCCAGCCATGTGTGCCAATTGTAATGCTCCTCAATCCCCTTCTCCCTCCCTCCCCACCTGCCTTCCCCCACCCCTCCCCTTTGGTAACCACTAGTCCTTTCTTGGAGTCTGAGTCTGCTGCTGTTTCATTCTTTATTTTTGCTTTGTTGTTATACTCCACAAATGAGGGAAATCATTTGGTACTTGTCTTTCTTTGCCTGGCTTATTTCACTGAGCATAATACCCTCTAGCTCCATTCATGTTGTTGCAAATGGTAGGGTTTGTTTTCTTTCTTTCTTTTCTTTTTTATTACTACTATCCTCTTTTATTTTATTTTTTAAATTTTTTGTTAAGGTAGTATTGATATACACCCTTATGAAGGTTTCACATGAAAAAACAATGTGGTTACTACATTTACCCATATTATCAAGTCCCCACCCATACACCAATGCAGGCACTGTCCATCAGTGTAGTAAGATGCCACAGTCACTATTTGCCTTCTCTGTGCTACACTGTTTTCCCTGTGATCCCCCACACCATGTGTACTAAATGAGATGTTCTTAAATGGCTGAATAATATTCCGTTGTGTGTATGTACATCTTCTTTATCCATTCATCTACTGATGGACACTTAGGTTGCTTCCATGTCTTGGCTATTGTAAATAGTGCTGTGATAAACATAGGGGTGCATATGTCTTTTTGAATCTGGGATCTTGTTTTCTTTGGGTAAATTCCTAGGAGCAGAATTCCCGGGTCAAATTATATTTCTTCTTTTAGTTTTTGAGGAACCTCCATACTGCTTTCCACAATGGTTGAACTAGCTTACATTCCCAGCAGCAGTGTAGGAGGGTTCCCCTTTCTCCACAGCCTCGCCAACATTTGTTGTTCCTAGTCTTTTGGATGTTGGCCATCCTAACTGGTATGAGGTGATATCTCATTGTGGTTTTAATTTGCATTTCCCTGATAATTAGCAATGTGGAGCAACTTTTCATGTGCCTGTTGGTCATCTGAATTTCTTCTTTGGAGAAGTGTCTGTTCATATCCTCTACCATTTTTTAATTGGGTTATTTGCTTTTTGGGTGTTGAGGCATGTGAGCTCTTTATATATTTTGGGTGTTAACCCATTGTCACATATGTCACTTATGAATATATTCTCCCATACTGTAGGAAGCCTTTTTGTTCTATTGATGGTATCCTTTGCTGTACAGAAGCTTTTTAGTTTGATGTAGTCCCATTTGTTCATTTTTGCTTTTGTATCCCTTGCCCAAGGAGATGCATTCAGAAAAAAAGTTGCTCATGTTTATATTCAAGAGATTTTTGCCGATGTTTTCTTCTAAGAGTTTTATGGTTTCATGACTTACATTCAGGTCTTCGATCTATTTTGAGTTTTCT